ATACAAAAAGTACATTTTCAAAGGTTGAAGGGAGGGGAAATATTAGGCTCAAATAAAAAAAATAAAGATAAAAGTGAAAAACGGAGAATTTTAAATTTAAATTTTTTTTCCAAATTTTATGAGTTTCTTTGATTACAATTTTGACTGATACGATCACACTTATTCATGAAAGACTGTTTATTGACCCCAGGATTCTAGGGGGGGGTATTTACCCCCAGGATTCTAGGGGGGGGTATTTACCCCCAGGATTCTAGGGGGGGGTATTTAACCCCAGGATTCTAGGGGGGGGTATTTACCCCCAGGATTCTAGGGGGGGGTAAATAACCCCAATAACCCCCCTTATATCCGCCACTGTATAGAAAGAAAAAAATACTTTAAAATCTCACTTTTGCCCTTAACTAAAAAAGTTTCATTAAAAAAAGCTTTAATTAATGTAAGTATATAATTGATATCATAATTTATTATACAATATGCAATATTGTACAATATGTAACAATGGCACAATGTTACCAAGGGGGGGAACAAAAAATATTTTTTTCACCCCCCCCCCCTACACAAATGCTCTCGTACGCCCCTGATGTCAATATATTTAAATCATGTCAATTTGATGTTTGTTTGATGTCATTTCCAATGTGTTTCGAGTCATCAATGACATATTTTGACATTACTGATCCCTAAATGATTCAATTTACGATACATAACATCTCAATTCTTGATGATCATTCAAATAATGTCACATTTAACAACATATTTAATTACATCAAAATTGGGGCGGAGCAACGTTCCGTTAAGGAAAGAGAGGTTTTCGAAATTAAACGGAAAAGTCCGTTAACAAACAAAAAAATGTATATTAAGCCATTTTTGAAATAAAATAACGATAAAAACACTTTAACTAAAGAGCTAAAACGGTAAATTTCGTTATTTTCTGATTAAAATTGCATAATTAAATTATTTATATTTTAATTAAAAATTTTTTATGTGTTTTGACGTTTTTAAATGTCTTCTTCTGTGTTTGTAAACCGTTAACAAATTTTTTGTCGCCGTTGTTAACGCCGTTTATAATACTGCAAATATACCATTAACGGATGTGCCGTTGACAGTTTTTTAACCGTTAACGCCATTAAATTATTAACCGTTTTTTTCAAAATTACATCTTTTAACATTTTAAATATGTCTCATTAATGTATTTTTACTTTTAAATGACAACTTATAATGTCAATTTACATCTTAATAATGTCTCTTTCATGTATAGTTTTACTTTAATACGTCAAAATAATGTCAATTCACATTATGATACCTAACATTAAGCAACGACATTTAAAAAAAGTCACATATATAGCATTTTAATAAGCCATCAAAATAGTGTCACATTTTAATATTAGATCACAAATGTGCATTTCATACACTGAACAATAATTCCCTCTGGGACCCAATATGCTGCTGCAAACTTCATTCTCTCTAAAAAAATACATGTGATAAATATATTCCATTACTCTCTAATCTATGACGTGTATATACTCTATATGCTAGCTTTTAATGAATATTAGTCCGGTGATCAAACACAGACTTATAATTTTTAAAGATGAAATCCTAAAAGTTTGTACTGAGGAAATATGATGGAAAATACACTCATTTAACAGAAATAAAATAAGTTTAGTTATGGCTTTTATAATAGTATTATTATGTAGAAACAATTCATTAAAATCATTTTAGGGGAATATTTTAATATGTTTTTAAAACGTACATTCGTAGTATATTTTAAAGTTTCACATATTTTTTCCATAGAAAGAACTATTTGTATTTTTCCTATTAAAGAAAGCCTGGCTTTGAACGGTATAAAATATATTAATAGAAAGGGTATTATATATTTACGTAAAGTCTGATATTGATATTATTTTATAACTTATAAACTTTATACAATCCATTAAATAAATTCAGCTTTTACGTCAAGAGAAATAATATATGAGTAATTTCTTATGACCCCTGTCATAAAACAGAGTAGTTTTTCCAATTCCCAACTGTAACAGGTAAACTGAAAAACTTAGTTTGAAATGCTCGAGATAAGGATGACATTTATCAGTTTTGTCTTCACTGTGAAGTGACTAACTGATTTTTGCTTCACAAACAATGGAGAAAGCTTTCAACGTACTTTTTAAACTAGAAAAAACCAATATCATCCACATTATTAAACAGATAAAGGTTTTAAGACAGATGCTGTTGTCATATGGTAATATGGAATGGCCCTCTCGAAATCAACAGCAGTCCCTTCGCAGGCCATCCTTTAATCTATGAAAACAGTCTTATACAAAGAATACGTGAAAAAAGTAAATGCATCATACTATTTCAAAGATCGAAGACGATCTTTAAGTCATCTCTCATTGTTATGTTATGTGACTCTCTGTACATTTTGCTAATCATAATTTTAAACGTATATCTAATAAATAAAACCTGCAAACATTTAGTCTCCGAAATGCCGATGTTGAACATGAAAAGTCCAACATTGTTTACCCGCCATCTTTGCAATCGCAACTTTAGGTCGGTACTCGGTTTAAATGTTTCCTGGGAAATGTTCTCAATATTCGTATAATATAATCAAGTTTTTTTCATTATCTTATCTTTCAACTGTGCATTGTGGTGACTTATTATGAAAGTATTTTATTTGTATAACATTGATACATTTATCACATGTAGCGTACATTGTAAACTATTACATAATTTTAGGAGTTAATTACATTTTATTTATTTATCTATGGTTAATTACCGTTTTGGTAGTTTATATAGGGGATGACGTGGGGGGGGGGGAGGCTGTTACGTTAAGTTTGACTAATCCATTATTTACGTATTACCTTGAAACTGCTCTAGCAGCGGTGAAAGATAAAGGTTCAGTAAAATATAACAGTGTACACTAGAGTTTAGTAGAATACAGTGTATTTAGGAATATAACAGTATACAGTAGAGTTTAGTAGAATACAGTGTATAAAGGAATATAACAGTGTACAGTAGAGTTTAGTGGAATACAGTGTATATAGGAATATAACTGTGTAAACTAGAGTTTAGTAGAATACAGCGTATTAGCAATATAACAGTATACAGTAGAGTTTAGTGGAAAACAGTATATTTAGGAATATAACAGTGTACACTAGAGTTTAGTAGAATACAGTGTATAAGGAATATAACAGTGTAAACTAGAGTTTAGTAGAATACAGTGTATTTAAGAATATAACAGTATACACTAGAGTTTATTAGAATACAGTATATTTAGGAATATAACAGTATACACTAGAGTTTAGTGGAATACAGTATATTTAAGAATATAACAGTATACACTAGAATTTAGTGGAATACAGTATATTTAGGAATATAACAATATACACTAGAGTTTAGTAGAATACAGTGGATTTAGGAATATAACAGTGCGCACTAGAGTTTAGTAGAATATGGTGTATTTAGGAATATAACAATATACGCTAGAGTTTAGTGGAATACAGTGTATATAGGAATATAATAGTATACACTAGAGTTTAGTAGAATTCAGTATATTTGGGAATATATCAGAGTTTAGTGGAATACATTTTATACTAGAATTTAATGGAATGTACAGTGTATTTAGCCAGAGGCGCAACTAGGACTTTTGCTAGGGGGGGGGCAATATATTATTTTGTTAGGGTTTGGGGGGGTAAAGAGGGGGTTTCCCCCCCTTTTTCGAAAATTTTTCGAAAACAAATGTGCATTTTTAAGGATTTGAAGTCGAAAAAAAGTAAATTTTAAGTTGTTGCATGCAGATTTTGCTTTGTTCAATTCAAATCGATTTTTTGTTCTTGTGTTTTTACAAAATTTATACTTCCAACAGCTGTAAAATGAATGATGTGAGTCAATTCATTGTGCGAATCGCAAAAGAGTATTTTTTAATTACCTGGTTTAATTACAGATTAAATTGCAAGAAATAATCATTTATAGTTTCTGGGGGAAAAAAACATAAAAATACATAGGTAAATAATAATTTCAATCATCTACATTGAACGTAAAATTCTTATCTGATAGATAGATAATTCATACGAGAGACATCTGGCGGCCAAACTATCGTCCCCTAAAGTACGTGAACTACACGACCACTATCTATAGAGAGAACGGGCTCAGTGTACAGCTTGTACACTAGAGTTTAGTGGAAAACAGTTTAATTGTATTTTGAATATACATAATAATTTTAGCATATTCCCATTTAAGGAATGAGTACTTACCTCAAAAACTGCAGCGTATACATAAAGAGGAGGCTTTTTATGTACATGATATACTTATCAATGTTGCATTCAATTGTACATAACTCTGTTCATAAATCATATAAATATTTTACTCCTCTAAAGTTGTTTATTATTTAAAAAGCGTATTCATGATAGCCTTTAGATAATAAATCTATTTTGACTGACTGATTGGTTTTCAGGAGCATAACTTACTTGGTTACCCAGTTTTGCCCGGAAACTGAATCCACCTACTTAGTTTAGAACTTTTGAACCAAGCTAAGTACATTCCTGTGGTTCTACCAAGTCCTCAATGCAAATTTAAATCAAATTGATCAATGGGTTCCTGAGTTTAATTCAGACATACACCCAGACAGACATACACCCAGACACCCATACACCAAGACAAACAAAGATAACTACTTTAACTACAATCTATATATCCTATATCCTAGAGCCTAAATTGTAAAATAAAATGATAAACAATAACAAAATTCAGAGATGTAAAAAAACAAGGTTTAATTGTAAATATAAATATTATATAGTAAGCAGTTATGATAATTATTATTATGATAACAATTATAATATTTATATTAATAACAATTATGATAATAAAAATACTTACAACAATAACAATCATATATAAATATAAGAATAATGATAACAATAAAAATAATAACAATTATAAAAATTTCAGATTAAAATGGGAAAAAGCAATCTTCTCAGAAAGTTTTTTATTCTCATGTGGAAAACAGTTTTGGGAAAGGTAGATACAGTGGTCGTCCTATACATCAATACAATGAAGACGACTTTCTATGTTAAATTCTACCAAGTTTTTTTACAGCAGAGACACATAAACCAGTGACGCCCATCTACTTTCTATGGAAGTAATGCCGTTGTCACGTTAAAAAAGGCCCGGGCGTTATATTTGGTCCGGGTGAGTGTTACATGTGAAATCCATGTAGAAAATTGATAGGCTTGCGTGCCACCCCGAACTAACCAGAGTGAGAAGCATTCGGTTTCTTTTATTTGAAATCAAACGTGTTTTCGTCTATAACTCAACAGTCTTTAAACTTACTGATTTGTTTATTTTATACTTTTTCATTCAAAATGTATATGCCAACAAAAAAATATTTAAGATAAAAGGCTATAAAATTATGTAAAATGGGTCAAATTGTGATCGAAAGTTACATGTTTTCTAAAATATTGACCAAACCGTTAAATCCACGTGGGGCAGGCGTGCGCTTAAAAACCATGTCTATCCAGACAATCCCTTTAAAATTAAAATATTCATTTTATTTACAAAAATACTGTTAAATGAAACTAAATCAAATAATTTTAAATGTTTAATGAAAGGAAATCAAAGCTTATACATATAGATATTTAGGAAGTCATCATCATAGTATAAATAAAAACGCCAACCACTGTATTATTTTGGAAATTTTCACTATTAGTGTCGATTGCCCCCCCCCCCCTCCGCCCCCGCTCTATCTTGTATGCTTATAAATTCTAAATATGTTGGGTAAATGCATTCCGTCTTTATGTTATACTAGATTGAAAGTTAATTTCTTATATTTCTACAAAATGAAAAAGAAAATATCCTCCATAGGTGTCACTAAGAATTGTTGTTCAGGATATCAATTGTAACTTTCTGAATTTGTATGGACTCTACGTTCTTCGGTACAACAAGTCGTTTTAATTAATTTTCTCCTTATTATAGGCGCAACAGATAGAAGTAAGATTAGTAGCTATCAATAGCGATTATTTTTCGCCTTAAGCTTATACCCCCTTTCATTTTTCGTGAACACTCCCTTTAAGGGGTAACTCTGAGAGTCGTTCTTGGCCCTCGTCATCAATCCCTTTAACTTTTTAGAAACGGCATTGGATAGGTACTCTGCTGGAAATAATTATTCCTGCAGTCTTATTTTGTGCCCTAGTAGCGCTTAGAACTGAGGGTAAGTATCTTATTTTGTGCCCTTGTAGCAATTAGAACTGAGGGTAAGTATCTTATTTTGTTTTGTGCCCTAGTAGCACTTAGAACTGAGGGTAAGTATCTAATTTTGTGCCCTGGTAGCGCTTTAAACTGAGAGTAAGTATCTTGTGCCCTTGTAGCACTTAGAACTGAGGGTAAGTATCTTATTTTGTGCCCTAGTAGCATATAAATCTTAGGGTAAGTATCTTATTTTGTGCCCTAGTAGCACTTAGAACTGAGGTTAAGTATTTATTTTGTGCCCTAGAACTAAGGTTAAGGAAAATATAACAAAATGCGAAACCTAAAGTTTGCAAAAAAAAATTCAAGTTTTTTTCTGAAATCATCCATCTCCTTAAATATCTTTTCCATCTCCTTTCTTACAATTTTAATTTGGGTGTTTCAATGTTAAAAATAATAACACTTTTTAAACAAAGAAATTTAAAGTTTATTTTAATTTTCTTTTCCCCCATTCCTTTTGAAAATCACAAAACTTGATATGACTTCAAACTATGATTTTTTAATTCCTGTATCTTTACAACCAAATGTCGTAGACCTTTGATATTTTAATCTATAAATTTCAGGTGGTGCTGCATTTGAACCTGAACCCCACAACGCCAGTATAGAAGCTACAGTTTTTCTTCCTCTTCAATACTGCTTAGGCATAGATGAATAAATACATAGATATTCAAAATAATGAAGACGACTTTTGATTTTAATCTTTGATTTCTGTTAGGCTTTCAATCAGCAAGGATATAAATAAAATTGGAAACAAAGAGAAGATGTCAATTAACACGTTCTCTTTCTTTAATTGTACACTTGTGTTTTGAAGAAAGCTTGCTAAAAATCAAAACTTTGATGGAAAAGTCGTCTTTATTGTTTTGATTTAAACGCCGACCACTGTAGTAGTTCAAGTACAGTGCAGTACAGTTTAGTTTAGAACAGTACAGTACAGTACAGTACAGTACAGTACAGTACAGTACAGTACAGTACAGTACAGTACAGTACAGTACAGTACAGTACAGTACAGTACAGTACAGTACAGTACAGTACAGTACAGTACAGTACAGTACAGTACAGTACAGTACAGTACAGTACAGTACAGTACAGTACAGTACAGTACAGTACAGTACAGTACAGTACAGTACAGTACAGTACAGTACAGTACAGTACAGTACAGTACAGTACAGTACAGTACAGTACAGTACAGTACAGTACAGTACAGTACAGTACAGTACAGTACAGTACAGTACAGTACAGTACAGTACAGTACAGTACAGTACAGTACAGCAGGCCCGTAGCCAGGATTTGACCAGGGGGGGTGCAACCTGATGCGCTGCAGGCGAAAAAATTTTTTGGGGGGTTTTTAATGATTTTTTTAAACAATGTTTGGTTTGGTTTTACAGTGGTATATGGTTGTTTTTATTACATTGTCAATGCACACTATAAAGGCTAACCTTTTTAACAAGTGTATTTGAGCTTTTAAGGGAGTACTGCTTAACTAACAGAGTCAAGTAATCATTTATTACTTTGACTTTGCAATATGAAAATGATATGATCTTATTTCTTATTCATTTAAAAAAAGCTTTTCAAGGGTTAAGGGGGAAACCCCTCACCACGGAAATGCCCAAAAAAAAACAGACTCATAAAACATAGCACACAGGTCAAGGGGGCGGGGGGGGGGGGGCTAAAAGTCTGAAAGTTTACAGGAGATTACCATTTCATTTACATGGGACTCTATGCATATAATTAATAAATCATACTGTTTTAATTAGACTTAAACAACTATTAAATGAATATGAGTAAATTTTGATGTTGTGTTATATTTAATCAACAGAGTGTACTGATCAACTGTTAGTTGCGATAGGTCACAGGAGAGACATGACTCAGGGGTTGAGTTGAGAGAGTACACAAAAACTCCGTCACACTTTCAATGAGTATAATGCACAAATAGATTATAATTTGGTTTGGAAATCAATTCTTACTCGGGCTATATAATTTATAACTAGATTTTAGAAACAATTTCTTTTATATGGGACAAGGGGGGGGGTGCAAATTCATCATTGCACCCCTCTTTCAGAAGAAAGGGGGGTGCACCTGCACCCTTGCACCCCCCCTGGCTACGGGCCTGGTACAGTACAGTTTAGTACAACAAAGTACAAGATTTAACTACTGTTTATTGTTAATTCATGAATATGTTTACTAGGATTCCAGGGAAACCAGCTTGGGTGAGAATCCTTTTCTATAATTTTTATACATGGATCTTGAGAAAATATTTGATTTTATAAAATACTTAATTTTTAAAACTCTTTCACAAAATGTTGATATACATTCTTGAATTTAACAAAAGTATAAAAAAATTCGATGTTATCTTCAAGAACTTCGGTTTTAAAGAAAACCTTGAGTTATACGAATCCCTCACTTGAAAAACATTTAACTTTGGTTTAGAAAATTCTTAATTTAGGCAAATCGTTTGTTGAGAAAGGTTTTACTAAAAAACTCCATTTTTCTGTTTTGAAATTTTTTTTTTAAATTCGTGATTTTTCATTATTGATTCCGGCAGAATTTTAATTTGTTTCTGATAAATATCATATTTCTGTTTTAAAATTTAATATTTTCTTGTTAAGGTTGAACTCTAGGAACTCGTCTATGTACCAGCTCCTCTATTACCCAGAGAATGAGGAGACTAAAACCTTGATGACAAATCTGGGTAATAAATTTGTTTATTTATTTACTTTATCATTTTTTTATTTGTTTATTGTTTAACAAACACTAGAAAAAATTTGAAATTTAAAGAAAAAAATAATGAAATAAAACATAATTTGAATATTGGAAAAAAAAAGAATTTTGAAAATTTTAAATTTGATTTAAAATTTGTGCAGAGCTGAGATTGAATATAACTCTAAACCCGTTGTGTTCCTCTTACTCTGGGGGAATCTTCAATATCACAAAATCTACATTCTGTAAGTAAAATATTTTTAGTTCTTTTCATTTGTAGGTTTATCGTGTTTGAACGACTATTTTGTACGTTTTTTTTCTTTCTTTCGTTTAGTAAAACCGTTTGTTCACAAAAAACTATCGTTTTTTAAAAGTTTGTTCCAAAAAATCGTTCGTTTGTAATCAAAAATTTAGTTCGTTCACAAAAACGATGCATATCCCTAATTGTGGTGACGAGGGTAGCCCTGCTCATTTTTCTTCCGTCAATATGTACTTTATCTACGATATATTACAAAACAGTAACACGGGGTTAAAAAGAATATAGTTCCAAAGTTCTTGGTATTCTAAAAATCAGTTCCTTTTGTCTAAAAAATACAGTTCCTGGTGTCCAAATAATAGTTCCTTGATGTCCGAAAAAAACAATCGTGTATGCCAAAAAAAACAATTCCTGGTGTCCAAAAAAAGTTATGTGAAAAAAATCTTTGTCGAGTACCAAAAGAAATATTTTTAGGGTTTAAAAAATGCAATTTGGGCAAAAAAGTCATGATTTTCTTAAGATATGTGCACGCTTGTCTGTCCTCTCACCCTTCTGGATATTTAGTGAAGGATGCAATGTAGGAAAAATGTAGTGGAAAAGAAATTAAACATTTGTAACATTGCTTAAAATTGTGACGGTTGTTGTTTATGTTCTTGTGGGGATTATTTCTTTGAAGAAAAAAATGATAAATCACTGAAGGGTGAGTTTGCATCACAGATATTTATTCATCTATGGTTTGCATCGGAAAAAAATAAATAAAAATGATTGGTGATTTTATGAAAAATGATTCAAGATTTTCATGATTTTCAAGTTACATAAATT